TAGTACTATTTCATCAGTGATTGTTGTACAGCTTACAAGAAGTTGTGCTAATGCTAATGTTAGCATACATGTCAGATCGCAAACTGAGCTAGATGGCTCTGTGTTATGAGAGCGCAGGGGAAATGAGAAGCCTGTGAGCGAGTTGGGGGCGGTGCTAAACATTCAAACCTTGCAGAAACGGGTATAGCGCCTTTAAGACATATCAGCTTCACCTTGAAGCAGTGGGGATTCATATCACTCCAAAACAAGCCGTGAAAAGTTTTACAAAACTAAAGCAGGACTATAAAAAAACTCAAAGATCACAACAACCGGAGCGATCACAAACGTAAAATAAACAAATGGGTTTGGCATAATGAGTTTCGCTTGTGCGGCAATCGAAACTCATATGACGTCACCGAGTGGTCCTACTGCACTGAGAGGACCGAGGGAGAGGAAGGCTCCTGTAAAAGTTCCACCCCGTTCTTTTTACCAGGATCTCCTGCGGTGGAAACGCAGCTATAGTTGTTCACATCATTAGCGACACGACTTTTCACAGATTTCAACATGGTTTTGTACTCTGGAAGCTCTCCTCGACATCTGTCAGGTCGCTTGATAGATGAGTTTGCTTCGCCCTTCAGATAACCAAAGCATCAAATGGCAAATCACTGACTTCAGCAGACTGTTGTAATGACAAGCTCAGTTTTAACATACTTGCACAAAAAGTCTTAGAAAGGAATGATATAGGGCTCAAACTCTCCAAACTTCACTTTTATTGAACCAGAATTCCAGCTGAGATTTCAGATTCTCCTTTAAGACGAGTACATGTTTTTAATTGTAAGGGAAACCAGAGAATGCAGACAGTAGCCTTCATCCCCACAGCTGTCAGACTGTACAATAAGTCACTTTAACGACCTGCACTAGGAATGAAAAAACTTGCACTGCTATAGTAGTATCTTGCAAAAAAGAGACTAGCTTTCAATTGTTAACATGTTTGCTCATTTCCTGTCTCTAGCACAACCTGAGTGATACTGTTTATGCCAAATGTGACATGTACTTTTCTCCATTGTGAGATCAATAAAGTTTATCTTAAACTAAAATAATCATACCACTCTAACCAAAAGCTCTAACCAATGTGCTTCCCCTTGGTCAGAATGTCCAGCGGTGTGAAATGATTGGTCTGATAATATTATTGCATATGGTAAAAATGGTCCATACAATCATTTTGCATTTGATAAACCAGGAATCTTGAAATCTACACTAAAAAAAATATTAATTAAGTAAGTAAGTAAGTTTTTATTTATATACCGCCTTTTCACTGCAGATCTGAGTCTCAAAGCAGTTTACAATTGTTAATTTTGGGCATTTGTCTCTCACTCCACACAGAGATGGGAGCGGGGCCAGTATAGGAGGCACATGCCAGAACTATTGGACATATTTTTAGTTGTAGGGGAAACCGGAGTACCCGGAGGAAACCTACGCAGACACGGGGAGAACATGCAAACTCCACTCAGAAAGGCCCTGGTCCGACCGGGATTCGAACCCAGGACCTTCTTGCTGAGAGGCGAGAGTGCTATCCACTCAGCCACCGTGCCACCCAATTAATCGCAGAAATGGTTGGCAACAGGCCATAGTGTCTTCACCTCAATGCACATTTCTCATTCAGATCATCACCAATCTCAGTGTGTCTTTTCTTTTTCTTAGATGAGTTGCAAGGTTTTTGGAACTGTGAAAAATATCCAACAACCCTTTTACATTCAACCATCGACCACAAAGACAATTCGAATAAGTCTTGAAATGTTGAGTCGTCAAAGCGGGCAATGAAAAAGACAATAATACTCAACTAACAATTCAAATATTGCTTCAAAACATACAATTTGGGGAGAAAGTAAAGTGTGTTTCTTGGTTTGTGAAGTCTGAACAAAATCTAAAAGGAACAGAAAATGGGTGGGGTGTTGTCTTTTGTCACCAGAAATGGGTTTTACCAATTGTCCAATACCAATTTGGCAAAAAACGTAGAAGCCAAACTGAATACATTTCACTGGCTCAGACTGACACTTGCAGTTTAAAACGACAAAGCAGACTTGATGCAGAGGTTGTGTGGAGATGCAGATAGAAAAACAAGTGCACAGACCACTCCACCATAAATCTCTTTTTGCAACGTGACTCTGCTACAGCCAAAACCCGGAGGACTAAGAGTGCGGATTACATACTGTCTCTTTAAGTAGAAAACAAATGGTAAACATTTAAAAGATAAATAAATGATCAGGATCAGTAAAACACCCCCATCTAGTGGTAGACGTAGGTAATTATATTCTTAATGAATAATAAACATCTAACATGGTGGGATGTAATCAACCCACGGAGATGTAAAGAACATAATTTGACTAAAGAAATCATCAGAACTAACTTAGAGCCAATATTTTTGTTTTCAATAAGACAAATGCAACAATGAGAGAAAGCATCAGTTGAAAAGAGACAGAAATGCTACTGTGCATTAAAGGAAAAGCCGCTTGTTCCATTGGAAAACCTTTAACTAAAAAGAGCCACATCCCATCAAGACTTATGTTACTTAATTCAAGCAAAAATGTACTTATTGTTGTCATGTTCTGCAGTGTTCAGTTGCACAAACACTAAATGCCATCATGAATCCTGCACAAATTTGACTCAGTGACACCAGTCTATCAGCCACACAACAGTAGTAGTAGTAGTAGTAGTAGTAATATGTGTGTTTAGTGCCAGATGCCAGTCTACCGAAGGTGTCAGTCGCCTTGAATTAAGTAATGGTCATGAATGCGGTCCTGCTACATCCCGAGCTTGTCACGACCGTCTGCCCACTGCATCGGCCTCCTCTCTCTCCTCTCGTAGGTATAGGACTCACAGTCTCCACAGCAACCGTTGCACAATGTATCGAGTGCCTGGAAACCGTGTAGGCTGAGAAAAGCAGGTTTGTTCTCTATTACCTCTTTATAAATATTGGTGCATGATGCCAGGAGAGAGATTAAACTGTGTCGCTCTGTGTTGAAGTCTTGGGGTCTGTCAGTGGGATTCCATCTTAGCCATATAACATGTTGCAATGGGAGCAACAATGGAAGGATTATTTTGATAAAGCAGAAAATTATGTCAAAGGCTAAAAAATGTGCTCTTTACCAAGCAGTTTTTTTTAAAGCCAGATATATTTTAGTACAACAAAAATAAAGTTTCACCTGTTCTTGAGCAAATCCTGCCAAAAAGACAAGGTTTTGAACAGTGTGGAGAAATACCACTTTTTGACTTTCATACGTTCATATGCCAAATAAATATCCTCAACTGTTCCACGGTTTATTCCCAGTTTGTTTTAATAATAATTCATGTTCAATCTGTGATTTCTCTTCAGACAATTTCATACGTCCCTCCTTTCATTAGGAGTAACAATTTGTATACTCAAAAAAATAAAAATTATTTTTGTAGCCCTCATTGACAACAGCAGTCATTTCAATTTGGAGAGACGAGAAACAAGAAGCTTTGAGTATTTTATTGGGAGGAGGTTTGGCGCCCTAGGCCCCGGTGCGGCCTTCGGATCGGAGGGCCTCAATGCGAAGGAGCGAGCCAATCCCCCGGGACCTAGGCACTGGTGGCGGCATTTGCAGCGGGAAGCAGATTGAAGGCAGAATGAAGGCAGGGTGAAGAGGAGGAGGAGGGGAGGCGGTGGTTGCAGGCTTCGAGAAGGCCGAGAATGGGAGTTCCTCCGCTTTTAAGCAGCTTGCCTGGCTGGACCGGTGATTGGAAGGGGGCGTTTGCCGTGCGATAGGCTGGGGATGAGAACCGGCCTGGAGGGGTTACCTTTGGCTGACGTCTACCAAATTGAACTTTCGCTGGCTGCATCTCTGAGAACTTTTGGACTTTTGGCGCTAATGTTAATAAATATCTATAAATGTCCTTGTCATAGATCAGGGGTGTCAAACTTATTTTGGTTGAGGGCCGAATAAAAAATGAAAGGGCTGGTCAGGGGCCGAAAGAATAAGTGGGTTTCATTTATTATACTTTTTTTTAAATATGAAGGTATCTGTATAAATGACTTGTTTCTCATTAGTTAGATTGGATATTCTTTTCAGATTAGAATTAGTTCAGTTTCTGTGGACTGAACCAAAACTGGACCAAATATTGAAGGTAAAGGAAGATTGTCTACTTCCGGGTGGATCATTGAGACTATTGCTCCTCCCAATTGTCAATCATTCTGGTGGTTCGTGCTCGTCAAAAAAGACCAGAGAGTCCTCCTTCATATTTTTAAGAGGAAATGTAATGGAAGCCTCGTAAAAAAAACATTACATAACAATACTAACTTATAATTACATGTTGGCTTAACATTTCTTATGGAAATATATGTTATGGTTATTTTCTTGAGAAAATTAGTAATGGATAACATGCCATTGTCGCCTAATATCATCAATGCTGCTATTTAATACAATAATTTAAAATCATCGCAGGGGCCACTGGAAATGATCTCGCGGGCCGGATCTGGCCCCCAGGCCTTGACTTTGACACCTATGTCATAGATCATCATCATCCTTAGAACCTTCTGCACTGGCAAGGAAAAAACCCCGGGGAGGCCCACATTGAGGAAAGGATCTGCTCCCACACACAAACAAGCTAGATTTGATAAAAGTTCAATTTACATGTTGGTTTGTAGTAGTTGCTTGATATTTATTTTAATTTAATTAGTGAACTTGATGCAGTCTTATGTGCAAACTAGTTCACTTTGCAAACTAGTTCTCTGAGGACTTTTTAAATGTAATAATGAATGTTTTTACTGTACAGAGCAGTGTTAGGCACACCTCTGATCTCTTTGGAGAAACTGTCTTTATAGAATTTAGTAAATATTGAATGTTTGTGTGTTTTTTGTCTCTTTTGTTTTATATGGACCTTTTGTGTGTCTGAATTCAAGATTAAATAAATAAATAAATAAAAAATTCAATGTAAGTCAGTTGAGTTGGTGCGAGTGCGAAAAATACGTCTTTAGCGGAGTATAGTTTAATACAAATTACCTGCTCCTTGATTTCCTGCAGTTTGTTGCTCTGGTCGCGGATGTCGTTGAGAAGTTGAAGGGCTTTGTCGTCTTCTTGCGTCACCTCCATCCTAGCCTGCTCCAAACTGCGCTTCAAACTCTACACACAAAAGAGTATGACACGGAGACATGTTAAAGACAGGATTTTAATGCATTTTAATTAAATCGAATGGGAGTCTGTCAAGTTTTCCCTTTAACCTGATTTTTTATCTGAAAACTCAATAACAAAAACAAGTACAATTTAGTTCCAATGCATTATTATGATATTATTTTCTCATGATCCACGGCAATCGTTTGGAATCAGCAGAAAGGACTGCTTGAATACATCGTTTGATCTTTGACCTACAACAACATTCTTATGAATGTGTCCTCTTTCCATACTTGTTACAGTTGCCTTTTACTGTACATTTAATGAGTCACACCCCGTGGAGAGAGACTGCCGAGAGGAAGATTCTGATTGGAAATCTGAAATAAAACAGCATGTCATTAAGCAAAACAAAAAAGCTTCCTGCAATTCTGCCACCACCTAAAATTGTAATATTCTTTTTTATTGACATGCCCCACCACTTTATTAGTTGGCAGAAACACAAAAGCTCTCAAAATATCTATTTCTGGTCTTGCTGCAAATGCACTGTGGTTCATTTAAAAAGGAAAAAATGGTTTCATATTTGAGTAAAAGCTGCGCTCCAATTGAAGATCATTTTAGTTTGAAGGAGGAATTAAGAAAACCCACACCTGTTGACATGACTTAATCTCTCTTGAGCACCTTGTTCTATCCGTTGACATGTTGTGTGGGTTTATAGTGGCAGGAATAATATTTATAATACATGATTTTTTGAACACAGGCATCTCTGATCAGTGTTGTCCTTGTTCCTGTGAGTTCAGGCAAATGGCTGTGATAGGTTTACAGTGGTACCATACTTTTTCCATTTATGAATGAACATATTTTTGTATAATCAAAGCATGGTTTAGGCAAGGCAAGGCAAGTTTATTTATATAGCACAATTCATACACAAGGCAATTCAAAGTGCTGAACAAAATAAGAAAGCATTAAAATCATAAATAATCACAGAACATTAAAAAGAAAGATAAACATATAAAATCCCTCAGTTGTATGCACAGCTAAACAGAACTGTTTTTAACCTGGTTTTAAACATTGTCAGAGAGGAGGCCTGTCTCACATCTTCAGGAAGATTGTTCCAGATTTTAGCAGCATGAATCTGAAAAGCAGCCTCCCCATGTTTAGTTCTGACTCTGGACACTAACAGGAGTCCAGTCCCTGTGCTCCTCAGAGTCCGGGCTGGTTCATATGGGACTAACATGTCACTAATATATTTTGGTGCGAGGCCATGGAGAGACTTGTACACAAGAGACTAGAACCAGGAAGTACGACCACATTAGTCCGGTCCTCAGGTCTCTGCACTGGCTTCCCGTGGCCCAGAGAATAGACTTTAAAGCAGCTCTCCTGGTGTACAAGTCTCTCCATGGCCTTGCACCAAAGTACATCCATGATATGCTAGTCCCATATGAACCAGCCCGGACTCTGAGGAGCGCAGGGACGGGACTCCTGTTAGTGCCCAGAGTCAGGACTAGACAGGGGGAGGCTGCTTTTCAGATTTATGCAGCTGGAGTCTGGAACGGTCTTCCTGAGGATGTGAGACTGGCTGCCTCTCTGTCAATGTTCAAATCCATGTTAAAGACTTTTCTTTTTTCCCGTGCATACAACTAGAGAATTTTATCTTTTTAACACACCTTGTTATTTATTGTTGTAACTTTTTGTGTTTTTAACTATTTTATTGTTTTTAATTACTTGTGTGATTTTTATGTTTTTAAATTACTTATGTGATTTTAATGCTTTTTAATTACGTATGTGTTTTTAATTGTATTTTAATGGTGATGATTTGTGCATTGTGTGGTGTGGACTGTGAGGCGCTTTGTGTTGCCCTGTGCAGGAAAAGCGCCCTATAAATAAAGATTGATTGATTGAAGCAGAGCTGTTTTAAAGTCTATTCTCTGAGCCACAGGAAGCCAGTGCAGAGACCTGAGGACCGGACTAATGCGGTCGTACTTCCTGGTTCTAGTCAGGACTCGAGCTGCTGCATTTTGAATGTACTGCAGCTGTTTTACAGCCTGTTTGGACAGACCTGTGAGCAGGCCATTGCAGTAGTCTAACCTACTGGAGACAAATGCATGGATAAGAATCTCCAAGTCTGCTTTAGACACTAGTTTTATGTTTAAACTTATTCATACCTGTATCAGTTCATCACTTGTTTTGGCCAATCAAAGATTTGTTTCCTGCTTTTGTAAACAGTTAACCGGACCCCATATATATAACGTTTCATGTTCTCGTCTCTATCACACGCCATATGCTTTGTGTGTGATTACATGAATGCCCTGACATTCACAGACGTGTTGTTGCCGCCTGTGTTGGTGTAAAGAACATTGAAAGACTCACGCTGCACTCCGTGATGTAGGTTGCCAGGTCTTGCTCTAAAATGGTTCTTTGTGTTTCTGAGGCCTTGAGCTCAATGTCCTTTTGCTGTAATACGGACTCCAGGTCGGACATCTTCCTCTGGACCAGTGAGATCTCCTGCTCCACCTACAGAAAACACAAACTTCAATTAAAAGAAGAAATATGATGGATTATATTTGGCCATTAAAATGATAATGAGGATATTTATTTTTGTCATTTCATGTTTTAGAATCCCCCAGTGGACTCACCACCTGCAGAGGGGCTAGTTCCCCCGACCCAGAAATGGCTTTGGGGTAGAAAATGGATGTATGGATGGACGTTTTAGAGTTTGAAGTTTGAAGTAGAATATTATGATGAAACAAGTATCAAGGGTAAATAATGTTATTTGGCTGTTCCTTATGCTACCACTAGAGGGAAGAGTAAAATTTGTTTTGTGTAATTTCGCCTGAGAAAACCTAAAAACTATTTTATGGTCAATACTGCCCATACAAAACTGCCCTAATCATAATATCATAGTGGTACAACAACATTGTGATAGGACAGAGACATGACCTTTTAGACTGAAGAAGCGGGGAGTTTGTGCCAGAAGTACATGATATTAGAGTTGATTGATCTAAACACCACTCCAGGTCTGTTTGATGAGGAAAAATGTGACATGGTTAAAAAACTAGAAAAAGTTGATTTTACTTAGTATGCCTCCTTTAAGATGAGAGAGCTTCTCATTCATCATCAATCTATGTTACGCTTTGCATGTCGCCGTGGCAGGAGCCCTGGTGCACACTGGGGTAGGCTTGCACAGTTTTTCCAATGTGGTTTTACTGCACATCGCAAATAATTTCTTGAATCTTGAATCTTAAAGCTGAGCTGGCTAACTTCTTGTTTACTAAATAACACGTTCCATGTCACATTTGTCTCATACAAGTACAATTTTGTGAACAAATCAGAGCACAACACGCTGTATTCATCTTAAGTAGAACACATTTGACTTTGAGAAAGAGCCTGTGATTCACCCTTTGATACTTGGGGCTGAGATGATTGGCCGAGTAAGAGTGGTCGCCTATTTTTTACTTTTCTGTCTAAAAAAGCTCTAAAGAAGCCAAAAAAGACATCTATGAGAAAAATCTGTGATAAAACCAAACCGTTTTAACAGCACTTGTTGGATGGATATACTGTATTACATAGATAATTTGCTGTTGTTTGAAAGCTTGAAGTCATACTCATGAAAACCAACGAGCAAACCATATTTTGGTAGAAGGCATTTGAAATTCCCAGAACAGTATTGTTTGTCTGCGTCCCCATGTTTATGTGTGTGTTTGACCAGGCTGAGACAGAGGAGTAGTGGCAGATGTCAGTCTGATAGAATTATCCACTGCCATTAAAGCATTAGGAGCAAAGGAGCCCCAGAGAAACAGCAGGAAGCCACACAGGCCCAGCACTCACACCAGCTTCTACACTCACAACATAAAGATATGTTCAGCATCTCTGTCTGTCTGGCTCTCATAGACTAAACATTTCATATCTTTATATACTGCTAAAAATTGAATATAGAAACGTGTTATTTACTTGCACTGACCAAACTTAAAAGTGACAGGCGAGACTTGACTAGGACTGCAACTTTGATAATCGGTAAAATCTAGATGTTATCCTTTCGATTTATTGATTATTTGTTAAGAATGTTTGTGTATTGTTGAGTCAGATAAAGATGAAGAGAAGCCACCGGAGGATTTTCTAACAGTTTTCATTTTCTACCATAAAAAAACGATTTTCTTAATTAAAGTCCTACTCTCTTTGAGTCTTAAAATCACATTTTATGTTGGAGTCAGAGCATACAGCAGTTAGCGATTAATTGAATACTGAAATAGTTGTAAGTTATTGCAAAAACTTGATTAGTTGTGATTAATCTGCATTTAATCCTGAGTTTTCACAAAACACAGTGAACAGCATTACAGTACTTGTTGGACTATAAGGACCCTTTGAACTTTAAGGCCAATGTTTGTGTTCTTATTTTGTTAAAGCTCCCCCTGGGGTAAAGCAACAAATTTGGACACAGATTAGGATTTTTTCATTAAAATTGTCAACAATGCAGTTTGAGACATCCACAATTTAACTAGGGCGGCACGGTGGCTGAGTGGATAGCACTCTCGCCTCTCAGCAAGAAGGTCCTGGGTTCGAATCCCGGTCGGACCAGGGCCTTTCTGAGTGGAGTTTGCATGTTCTCCCTGTGTCTGCGTAGGTTTCCTCCGGGTACTCCGGTTTCCCCTACCACTAAAAATATGTATAATAGTTCTGGCATGCGCCTCCTGTACTGGCCCCTCCCATCTCTGTGTGGAGTGAGAGACAAATGCCCAAAAATAAAATAATAACAATTGTAAACCGCTTTGAGACTCAGATCTGCAGTGAAAAGGCGGTATATAAATAAAGATTACTACTACTACTACTACTAACTACCTCCAGAAAAGAGGACCACAACCAGACTCAACACGAGTCCGATACATGGAGAGGTGACTCTGCTCACAGTCGTATGTTTATTACTTCATAAATCGTACGTGTAATTCCATAGAGGGACTTTACAGGCGAAGCAATAACCTCTCTATTAGGTTTGTTCTCTGAGAAAAACACTGGAGCGAACAGTCTTACCTGGGACATGGCCTGTAGACGTTCTCCTGTTTAGTTCTCACAAAGTGCTCTCGCTGTGTAGAACAAGATGATCTTATTTACAATGCAGAGTGCTCCAGTCTCTTATCTGGGAAAAGGAAAGATAAGAGAAACGAATAGTGAGAAACAGTGGTGCAGCAAACACGGAGCAGCTACTCGAGTGAAGAGCCAACTCACAGCCCTTATGGAAAACTAGAGCCCCAGTGATTGGGCATTGGAGCCAGAAACTTAAAAACAACAAAAATTAAATGAACAAATATTACATGTAAAATATTTAAAGGTTTGGACACATGAGTAGTAAGAATGGACATGTTATTAGCCACAAATTTACAAATGTAAATAAATAAATAATGTGGTTCTCAGGGAGTTTCTTTAAAGGAATCCAGCATGTTTGGTAATTTTCTAAACCTGAGCAGGAGACAGCAGCAGTCTTCCGCTGTTGGAGCAGGAGTTCGGCCTAACACGCAGATAAAACAAAGCTTTGAACTGCTATTGTCCGTGACCAGTAAGAACTCTACATACATAAAATACAGTTCTTACATTCAGTTCTTTTAAATATTGAGGCAATATTCTGGACTCTTGTTTATCATTTGAGACGTATAATGATTTTCACTCACATCAGTTCATGTATCAACTGCTTGAGACTCAAAGGTATAAGGGGTGGGGATCACGAAGTCCTTAAACAATATATACAGTGGGGGAAAAAAGTATTTAGTCAGCCACCAATTGTCCAAGTTCTCCTACTGGGAAGCCTGTAATTTTCATCATTGGTAAACCTCAACTATGAAAGACAGAATGAGAGAAAAAATACAATACTGTCTACAACCTCAAACAGTCACTCTCCAAACTATGGCCAAGACCAAAGAGCTATCAAAGACCTGCACCAGGCTGGGAAGACTGAATCTGCAATAGGTAAGCAGCTTGGATTGAAGAAATCATCCGTGGGAGCAATTATTAAAAAATGGAAGACATACAAGACCACTGACAAGCTCCTATAACCTGGGGCTCCACACAAGATCTCACCCCGTGGGGTCATAATGATCACAAGAACGGTAAGCAAAAATCCCAGACAAACACGGGGGAACCTAGTGAATGACCTGCAGAGAGCTGGGACCAAAGTAACAAAGGCTACCATCAGCCTGGGACTCAAATCCTGCAGTGCCAGACGTGTCCCCCTGCTTAAGCCAGTACATGTCCAGGCCCATATGAGGTTGGCTAGAGAGCATTTTGATGATCCAGGACTGGGATGTCATATGGTCAGATAAAACCAAAATAGAACTTGTTGGTAAAAACTCAACTGTTGTGTTTGGAGGAGAAAGAATGCTGCATTGCATCCAAAGCACACCATATCTACTATGAAGCATGGGGGTGGAAACATCATGCTTTGGGGCTGTTTTTCTGCAAAGGGACCAGCACGACTGATCCGTTTAAAGGAAAGAATGAATGGGGCCCCTGTGAGATTTTGAATGAAAACTTTCTTCCATCAGCAAGGGCATTGAAGATGAAACGTGGCTGGGTCTTTCAGCATGACAATGACTCAAACCGCTCTGGCAACAAGTTCTGGAGTAGCCTGCCAGTCTCCAAATATCAACCCAATAGAAAATCTTTGGAGGGAGTTGACAGTCTGTGTTGCCCAACGACAGCCCCAAAACATCACTGCTTTACAGGAGATCTGCATGGAAGAATGGGCCAAAATACCAGCAACAGTGTGTGAAAACCTTGTGAAGACATACAGAAAATGTTTGAGGGTATATAACAAAGTATTGAGAAGGGTTAGGGTTAGGGTGACCAAATACTAGGGTGACCAATATTATTTAAAAATCAGACATGATTTTCTGTCTCATTCTGTCTCTCATAGTTGAGGTCTACCTATGACAAAAATTACAGGCCTCACACATCTTTTTAAGTGGAACTACTTGCACAATTGGTGGTTGACTAAATACTTGTTTGCCCCACATGATATCTGCTAAATGGCTAAAGTAAGTAAGCAAGTAATGTTTATTTATGTAGCACATTTTACAGACCACCCAAAGCACTTTACAATGTTCAGAGTTCAGTTATTCATCCATTCTTTCCACACACAGTGATGACAGAAAGCGAGAGCCCGAACATCAAAGCCCCCATCCAAAACCATCCGTTCACTCACTCGTTAAATTCAGACCTAATGTACCTGAGCACCCGGAGGAAACCTACTCAAACACGGGGAGTACATGCAGACGCCACACAGAAAGGTCTGGAGGTGGAATCAAACCCAGGAACTTCTTGCTGTGAATCACAAGCTCTAACCTCGTCATCATTCTTATTTTTGCTTTTATTAAATCACTTTTTTGCAGTCCTGCATTTTGGGTTTATTTATTTTTCAAACCTGACAATTGCAATACAAAAGATAAACAATATATTACAAAAAACCAAATGTTTTAGCAAATTAATTATATAGCAACATAAGGGTATGTTTATCATCCAGGTGCTAAACTGCAGTGCAAAGGAACATAGTGGGAGTAATTGTAGTGGTGTAGTTCTACAGGACAGAGAAAGTAATTGAGAAGATGAAATAGACTTGATCTTGGGTTAGGGTTAGGGTATGCGGCAAAAATCAGTATGTTGAGAAGCTAATGAATGCTAACTTCTGCTAGTTAACAGTGTGTTGCTATGGTAACACAAACTGGCCCTGCTCTAGTGGAAAAAAGAAATGAAACAGACCAGAAACGGTGCCTTAGTGGAATAGGGATCATAGTTAATTAATTAAAAAGGTTTTCTGACATTCTCAGTTGAGGAAGTTGTGAAGATAATTACATCTACTGGAACTTCTCGGATGGTTTGATTTGAAGATACAATGTTTTTCCTTTAATGACATGTTACATCCGCAACTTACAGTAGACACAATGACGTCAAAAACAAGATTCCTCCAAACAGCTGCTGCTTCCTTTGCCTTTAAATACCTTTAATTGAATAGTATACTGTCAGACACTGGTTGGAGGGAATAATATAAATACAAATACAGGATAAAATGGCTTCTACTGGCTATATGATCATAGACTGTATATTAAATATGTGGTTGCTAATCACTGTTACACACTTTTTATATCATATTTTATATTTATCTATTTTATTTCAGAAGGAAACCAGTTATTTTCAAACATGAAAAATAGATTTTTGTTTCATTCATCCATCCATTTTCTTCCACTTCATCCGTTGCCGGATCACAGGGGCTGTAGTCAAAGCAGAGACGCCCAGACTTCCCTTTCCACACACACTTCCTTCAGCTCATCCGAGGGGACCCCAAGGCGTTCCCAGGCCAGCTGAGAGACATAGTCCCTCCAGCATGTCCTGGGAAAGGCATCCGAAACAGATGCCCGAGCCACCTCAACTGGTTTTGGAGGTGCTGATTCTCATCCCGGCCCCCTCACACTTGGCTGCAAACCTTAACAAAAACAATTTGCCTGAAAGGGAGTGGGAAGAAGAGACACTTTGCACACTTTTTTGTGTCTTTTTTTTGTTGAACAGCTGTCTAATTAGTAGACAATAATTGTTTTGGGTAAGAACTCAATAAGATAATTTGAGATTAACTTTATTCAGCTCTGATTTGTCTTCAAAAACGGACAAATAATGCATTTGCTCTTTGTTCTGGTTTGAAGAAAGAAGTATTTACCCTCAAACTCTAAGTTGTCTGGCAAGTAAGTATATTTATGTTATTGCAAGACACTAATGTGTATAGGAGCCTGCTTTCACTTTGGCACAGTGTTCATTCATGCTTCAGTCATTAACTTAAGTGTAATCAAAGCCTCTCCAGCTAACACATACAGGAAACATAGATGAAGAGTCTTGCTCAGAAACACAACGAAAGCACACATACAGGGTCCATGTGCCACATACATCACTACTGCATATCTGATATCTGTTGCTAAGCAATGCAGCAGCTTTTTATGCTTTTGTCCAGATCTGTACTCATCTCGCGTCATGCTGAAGCTATAAATAGCCCGTGTGTGTTGCCTCCTTAACCACCGCTGGATATATTTGGCATCTTTTGTGACGGGAAGAGACGCAGAAAAAGACCGACACAAACAGAAGCTCTATTTAAAGCAACACCTCCCACTCATCCCTACAGCTACACTCTCCTCCCCAGTAAGGGCAGCCAAATACACTATAGTTTGGAGGTATTTTTAAATATATCTTTATAATAATATTATAATAGCACTGCATTGTCAAGTGCTACACTGATGTCACTGTTCATTCACTCCACACTCGGGCTGCAGGATTCCATTCAATTCTATTCTATTCAACTTTATTACAGATGCTGGGTCCAATTTAAAAGATACAGACTATTACTGAGTATTCACATTCATATTAAAGTTCTTTACAAACAAAAAAGGAACAAAAAATATGCACAAAAAATCACTTGGAATCAGGAAAAATGTCTCTAGATTTGAGTTTATTTTTAAGATTTGTCAATGCAACAAGTATCTTTCGTCTTGTAGTCACACAGAAGCAATTTTTTATCATTTATGAGCCAAAATTATTGAAACTCAGTTAAATTAGGTTAAAAACGACTTCATTTAAGCGTTTATACTGTATAATATTCAACTTTATCTTGTCTCTTTTTCCACAAGATTTCTTTATACAATAGGTTAGAACTAACAAAATACATTGTTCAATAGTCTGGTAATAAGGCCGAACAGAGGGTCTTAGTGCTTATTCACCCAAGCCATTGATTGATAAAGTCTGCTCATTTTCATATCTTCCCCCCATACCCCTCTCTAAAGTCTCACTCCTCTCCTCTCCCTCCTCTCTAAACTCCACACTCTGAAACACGTGTTCTGGGTTATGCCTGGCCTTTTGTCACTGCATGTAAATGGCATCGTTAGGTCAGCCGTATGTGCCAAAACGCTGCTGAATCTTTGCCCCATGAAAAGGTAAAATAACTTTCACAGTTCTCCCCTCTCCAAACTCCTCTCCTCCCTCTCCTCAATCCAAAAACTCACTCCTCTCCAAAT